CACTGGAGATCCATGTAATGAGCCCTGATTGTGTGAGAGGAACTGGGTCTGGCAGTGGGGATGGGATGATATGAATATGAGAAAGAAGGTCCCACTTTCAAGGATCTGTGACTCTCCAGAGAGGTGGATGTCCTGGTAGTTGCTCCTCAGTCAGATGCTGTGGGGTGTGAGGAAGGGACCATGCCTAATTGTGGTAGGGACATAGGGAAGCATTGTCACAGCACTGGAGTAGTGGACAAGGGATCTAGGGAGGAGAGGGAGCTGGGAGGTAACAGTTCCTGCTGCTATTTAAGATTCCCAGGGCCAAGTGGCTGGAGAGCCAGGGCAGAACCCCACCCCAGCCTCTGCAAGGAGCCCAACAGGAATGTGAAATCAGGGCCAGTACAGCAGCATCTGCAGCTGCCTACGGTGGAAGAAATCTGAGTGGCTTCATCCTGAAACTGAGTCGGTCCGTCCACTCATCCTTCTGTACTGTCCACCTGCCCAGTGTGGCCCCTTCCATCCTGGGCCCATCCCTTATGCTTAGGTGGCCTCCTTGGCTCCTCCCCAACACCAGGACAGTCATCTGCAATGAATTTCCAGTTCCTGTTGCCTCCACCTGCATGGCACCAGCCACGCCACATCTGACTGGACTCCCATAGCCTGCCCTTCCCCAAGAGGGCTGTCATCATGGTCCATGGTGGCCAGGCTCCCAGGTACCCTACCTTCCCCGTCCTGCATCCTGGCCCAGGCTGGCTGCCATTGCCATCTTGGTATACCTTGCCCTGTCTGTGCCAAGCCCCTCCCTGACCCGAGGGCCTTTCTGCCGCATGGTGGGTGGGCTCCACACAGCCTCGCTTTCACCAGCCTACATGCAGGGCGCCTTGATCTTCCTCTCTTTGCTTCTCCTTTCTGTCTCAGCCTGTCCTTTTTGGTCACATCCTCCACTGTAGGAGTCAGCGAGGCAAGATCACGGGGCAGATAACCGGGCTCAAAGCAAGGGCGCCTCTGGAGTCACAGCATCCTTGGATATTTCCACTGACTAGGTGCTCACTTCCTCTTGAGTCAACTCTTCCCATCATGGGACAATTTTGTTATAAGAAAGTCCTTCCCTATATTAAGGGGAAAGCTGCTTTGCAGCTTGGGCCTGTGCTGACCTCTGGGGCCACAGTGATTGTGTCTAATTCATCTTCCACAGCTTAATGCTAAGTATGCAGATTGTAGAGCTCAACAATTGGTGCAAGTCCTGGCTCTGCCATTAACATTGCTAAGGGGCTGGGGATTTAGCTCAGCGGCAAAAGCGCCTGCCTGGCAAGCGCAAGGTCGTGAGTTTGGTTCCCGGTACCGGAGAAAAACCAAAAAAAAAACAAAAAAACAAAAAAACATTGCTAAGTGGCTCTGAACAAATTTCTCTACCTCTCTTGGCCTCCATATCCTTATCTATAAAATGGAGGTGATAACAGAAAGCTGCTTCCTACGAATTACACCAAGATGCGTTAGTAGATACAAAGCTCTTAAAATAGCACCAGACATAATAAGTGCTCACTGAATTATATTATCTGAGGACAGCTTCCTTTCATCCTGCATTATCCTGTTTTCCCTGGGTTAATGTCCTTTGGAAAATACCCTTCACATAGCACAATGCCACTCACTTCCAGCTCTTGCTCACCCTGCATTTTACGTTACCATGCCACCTCCACTGTGCAGTGGAGTCCCCGTCGCTCAGGACCTGGAAGCTGTTCAACTGATGTGATTGATCACTGATCAACTTCGCCAAAGCTGTGTCACACAGTTGGCTCATGGTGACCTTGGATCTTTCACCAGGATCTTTCTCAATTGACCCTCTTAGGGTCTCATACCACCCAAGACTCCACCTCCCCTTCTTCCTGTCCAAGTTTTCTGGAGACTTTGTGTACTCTGGGCCTTCCTGGCGTGTGCTATGTATCTGCTCGGTACAGCACCTGAAGTCTAGAATGTCCTTCTCTTTCACCCTTTACTGAAGAGCTCTATCTCACCCAGTAATGTTCCCCTGTGAGGATGACCACACTCGAGTTCCTAGTTTTACTTGCGTTATTCAGCCCCTCTGTCTTCTTGTTTCCAGCAGTGGTCTGACCCTGGCACTGAACCCAGCCTATCAAGCCCTGTACATCTTGGCTTTGAGGCCTGATCCTCATTCAACCTGTTCTTTCCACCCACTTTTGGTCAGAGGGTAATGACCTAGGCTATGGTATGGAGATGTTCTGTGTGTCTCACAGACAGCAGGGTATGAACAAGGATGGGACACAGCACCCAAAGCACTTGGTGGCCATGCCACTTCTAGCGAGCCTCTGCTTCCTCTAAACTTCTCCACAGAGACATCCTGTTCTTATGGGCTCCCTCGATGAGGGCCCAACCGTCTGACAGATGCCTGGCCAGCAGGGAAGAAGTGAGTAGCTCTGACACACCCAGCTTCCCGCCCCTCTCAAAACTCTTAGCTATATTTTTCTTTATTTTCCTTCCTGTGTTGAAAGAGCTATGGGGCCTGGGCCTTGGTACGGGCTTCCTGGGGACATTCCACAAATTCCTCATGGGCTGTTTCCCTGGAGAGGGTGGGAGCAAGAGGGTGGGTGAGCAGGAGGCCAGCAGGAGCTGAAGTGTGAGTATCAGTTACCTCAGAGCAGTGTGGGTGGGAAGAGGGTGAGTTGCCTGGCGGAGGATGGGGGGGTCCTGTGAGCTCATAGAAATAGCTGGAGAAAGGCCAAGGGAACAGTAAGAAGAGCAGACAGCTCACAGGTTGCAACAAGCTGTGGGTAGCCACGCCCCCAGCCTTGCCCTAGAACCCCCTGACTTGCCTCACTGGTAGGCCAGGGCTCCTGCAGGACTGCGAGAATTTGGCCAGCTTGGGTGTGTGGCTTGGAAAGATGTCAAACAGCCCTCCTGTTATTTTGTGCAAGAGGCCCGGGGATGTGCAGAGGCCAGAACAGCACCCCTGGAAGTCTGGCTGGTCACCCTTCCCTCCCACCGCTCCCTGCATCCCTTCTGTGAACACCAGCTCCTTCCTTCCGGTCCACGGCTGAAGAGAGCAGAGACATCAGCCCCTGGCTGAACTCTGCAGCAAGCCTGGGCCTGAAGATCCATCTCAGGCTCCATCTGTGGGTTCCAAAACTGTTTCCTTAAATTAAAAGGGGGCCAAATTGGGGGTCATGGCAAGAAGCAACTTGTCCTAGATCTCTATGTTGGACAAGTCACTTTTCTTCTGCAGGCCTCAGTTTCCTCAATGACTACTGAGAGTACTGGTCCAGACAGCCCTGAGATTTCTTAGAGAATGATTGGATTTCCAAACAGGAGGAGGCCATCCCATGTGTGACACTTGATGACAGCAGTGGAAGGAGGAAGGGAGTAAGCATGAAGGAAGAATGATTTGCCTTTAATAGCACTTTCAAGAGAATAAAGGAGACAGAATCATGCAGTCTCCAGGGACTGCAGGTGAGGGAAAAGCTTAGGGGAAGGCAGTAAGCACCAGCCTATTTCTGGCTTCTGCTGCCCCTTAGCAGGGTTTTGAGCCACTCAGAAAGACGGGGTTCCTTTGGGCAGATGAATTAGTAAGTGGAGCCCCACAGGGAAGAGATCTAAGCCACAGCATACGTTAAGAGGACAAGGAGTGCATGGGCTGGATGTCAGCCCCCACCAGGTCTGGTGCCCCCTGTGCCAGGCACAATTTGTCCACCTGGATGTAGCGGCTTTGGCTGAGCAGGAGTCTCCAGCTTCAGGGTCCAAGGGAACTGCAGCTGGTAGAATACACTGTACCGCTTTTCAACGTTAGCGGACGCTCCTCAGGGGTTCCTTTCTTCCCTCACTTTGGGAAAGCACACGGAAGGGCAGCTTGCATCATCTCTTATGTGCTGAAAAGCCATGCCAGGGCCCTCAGCCCAGGCAGAGAGGAGGGCACAGGACACAGGCAAGCAGGAACCTTTCCCAAGAACAAGTAAATGGTCACAGGGCTTTGGAACTGCGAGAAGCTAAGAGGTCTGGAAGGTCCAGCACCTTCTCTCTCTCATAAACCCAAACCAGTTCCTTAGACCTCCTGGGTGGACACTCAGAACAAACAGCATGGAAATTCTTCCCCAGGCTCCCTCCCAGCTATGCTTCTTGCACATTCCCAGACAACAGGCTCCCAAGGCTCTAGTGAACTAGGAGGCAGGAGCTGCAGGGGTGACTCCAACATGAAGCGGGAGACGCAGCGAGATGGTGTCTGTTCCCTGTCCCACAGGTGGTGCGGTGCTGAGGGGTGGCAGGAGGGTACGCTCAGGAAAGGGGATTAGCTGGGACCAGGAAGCATGTAGCTGCTGTAATCCCGCATAATGAACCACACTGTCCTCCCTCTCTGCACCCTCAGCTGGAAACAAGCAGGTACGAGCGGCTGGGTTAAGCCCGTCGTGACACAGGGCTCCCGTGCTGCCAGCCCAGACAGCCTGCTCCCTGGAGCTGGCAGAGGCCTAGAACAAGAAGTCTGCTTCCCTCTGGAGCTCTGCTTTGGGTACCGAGGTGGGAAGGGAGTGTCTGAGATTGCAGGAAGGAGTGAGACAGGTAAGTGGAGAGCAGGTGCTCAGGTTTTTAGAGCTGGGACCCATAATCTGCTTCAACCAGCTTCGTTCAGTTCACCGAAGACTTGACCAATACATTCAACTCTGCCTGTCCCAGGGAGGGATTTAAAGTGTGGGCGTTCACAGTGTAAATAATAAAAAAATCTGCACTTGATTTGAGAATGAAGAACAATTGTTTTTCCTTTGGTCAGGCTACCTAGAAATTCCTTCAGGTCTGGCAGGATGGAAACAGGTTTGCATTCTCCAGACACCATGGCTGCAGGAAATCGTGTGGAGAGAAGCCACCAAGTTCACCTCTGCCTCCCTCTCTATTCTGCATCTTTGCTCCCAAGAAAAGGCAGCTGCCTGCAGTTAAATCTCTTCCGACAGCCCCTTTCCAAAAGGACTGTCGGGCAGAGGAGCGGGACGGCGTGACGGCCGTGAAGCACAGAGCCTTACCTTTTTCAGTTTGCCGCTCTTGGTCCCCACGAAAACCACACTGTAACTGTTGTAAACATAGGAGGCCACGGAGGTCATGCGGTCCCGGCTGGTGGTATACAGGGTCAGGCCCTCCACTGGGGTGGAGCCTCCCAGGGGCTGGTTGATGTCCAGTCCGCAGAAGTTGTCATCAATGGGGACCGGCTGCAGTGGGGAAGGAGTCAAGGTGAGTGTCGTGAAGGCGTGGTGGTGCCTATCACCTCAGATCACCCCTGTCCCACTTGCCAGCCTGCGGGCACTGGGCCTTGGAGAGGCCCAGGTATGAGGTTCAGGGGACCAGCACATGCTGCAAACAAACCTTCTCACCAGGTGACCACCAATGGCATCTTGCCTCTCGTGAGTCTGGAGGGAAGATCGGGCAGCCAGCTCCACTCACCTGGTGTCCCCTGCGCCCCCCCTTCTGCCAGGAGAACCAGGCTCCATTTATACGGCTGACTGCTGGATCCCATTTCCTGGTGCTTCTAACATCCCTGAGGACCATGTCACTCTGGGAGTAACCCTCTGTCTGGGACAAACATCTTCTCAGAGGGCAGTCAGCATAGAGGCAACATCACACAATTGCCACCAGCCTGCAGAGGTTTGCTTCTTTGCTTCTTGGTCAGGCTATTGTTTCCTGGGCTGCCCAGGAGCCTCACTGGGGCGCAGGAAACTCTAAGCCACTCACCAATCAGTACTATCTGCTACTGTGGGAATACACTAATGGACACTCCAGGTCACCCCAGGTGACAGGTAACACGTGGGATCCTGTGGCAGGGGCTACAGACTGGGCCAAGAAGAGCCGGAGTCTGGGGGCACCTCCTCCCTCTGGGTCTGGGAAGGCACCCCAGAGGGGGAAGGAAATGGCTGCTGTAAGCACAGAAATCAGCATGGAGATACAGCCCCTGCGCCCCTCAATTCCGCTTCTCACCCTCACCAGAGCAGGCTGACACTTTGCTTGGTGACAGCATCGTTTCCCTGGGATAATCGGTTTATAAGCTACAGTATATGATTTTCTGTAAAGCCAGGGACATCCCTTCCACTTCCTTCTCAGTTCCAAAGGGAACAGGGACTTATTTCTTAGGGTTTCTCAGTGTTTTGCCAAGAGCTGCTGCTCCCAAGGCCAGCAGGCATGGTGGGGCTGCGCTGGTGTAGCTATATCCTTCTGGAAAGGACACCAAGGTCTAAGCTAAGGATGACTCTGAGCTCTGGCACCCAGGTAGCTGCACACAGCAGAAGGAACAAGCTTCCTGGGAAGGGAAGTCACAGCAGCATGCTGGTGGCAGCACTGGGAGCTATACCATCGGTGCTGGAGATCCACATTGGTCGGGTTTACACTATGGGAATTAGCAGAGCTACCAGCCAGGTTCTCCTCCTTCCTCAGACTGCACGCAGCCAATCATTTACTGGTTACCAGCGTATCAGTGAGCCAGCAGGGAAATTTTACTCCCTAGAAAGGCAAGTCCGAGTACTCAGCTACCACTTTTTACCCTTTCTACGTCTCCCTCTCATCTCTGTGCCTCGGGCAGCAGCTGCCAGTCAGAGCTGGATGATCCACATGTTAGTGCTGTCTCTACCACTGTCCAACTCAGTGACTTTGGAAATGTCACATGCCCTCTCTGGGCCTCAGTTTGCTCAGCTCACCTGGACAAGGTAATTGTCAAGCTTCCCTCCAGTTCTAAGGCACTGATTTCATGGCTTCCTTTCTTTCCCATTTTCTCTAGGGAGGAGAAAACCACAGAGTCTATGCACAGCCATAACCCAAGCCAGTTTCTGAGAAATGGTGACAGACGCTAAAATCTTGCTGGGAATTGTGGATTTCCCTGCATCCCTCCTGATCCTAAAATCTCCAGGACCGTAAAGGGAACACTAGTCTTAAGGCCAAGCTCCTGGACTGGCTGCCATTTCTTTCTCTCTACAATTTCTTTCTCAACATGTTGTCATGGACATTCCCACCCACCTGGAACCCCTCTACTTTTGCTGGAGTAGCAAGGACTTGAAGTACGACTTTCCTTAGAGGCAGAGTGGCTAACAGTGAGCTTCAACTCAAGTCATAGGAAATGGACTGAATGCAAATTTCTGCTTTATTGTTCATACTTGTTTCATTTTGAATAATGTACTTAGTTTTTGTGTGTGTTACCATCTGCAAAATGGGGTCCATAGGGTCACTGTGACGATCAAGTCAGATAGCCCTGAAGTTGCTCAGTGCAGCCTCTGGTACAGCACTGATTGGTGAGTCGTGGTCTTCTTCACCCCTTCTTTACCCCTGTTCTGGGGACAAAGCTCAAACATTTGACCTCAATCTCTATGTTGGTTCAGAGATTATGTTAAAGTCAGGCTCTGAGGCCACAGAATCTCTCACTGATCCTTAACCCCTTCGAAGGGTGGGGAGTGAGGAGCTATTTTCTCCCAGGTCCTGGTAGGTCTAGATGTCACCTCTCCCCCAGTGCCTTTGCTGTCCTCTGGTCACAAGCCCAGGCTTGTCTCTGCATGGAACTGGAGCAGAGCAGGGTGTCGTCTTCCTCTTCCCTCTGGCTCTGAGGCAGGCAGGAATCAGCAGTTTCCTCCCGACAAGGGCCCTCTGGGCAATGGCAACCATGCTGGATTCCACACAGACTTAACCCTTACTTCTCCTCTCCCCTCCTGTCAGCTGCGTAGGGTCTTTGGTCGTAAACCATAAGTACCAAAAGGAATTAGGAAAGTATCTGGTCCGGCTTCCTCATTTTATAACAGTGAGGCAACTAAGCAAATAACCAGCTTTCCGCTATGGTTAGCATTAATAATTATCATCGCTCATTTATTGAAATTACGCACTACGTACTGTGCTAGCATTTTACATAAATTTCCTTGTTGATCCTCATCATAACTACAAAAAAAGGACAAGATTGTTCAATTTTTAAAATTGAAGCTGGGCATGGTGGCGCACGCCTGTAATCCCAGCATGAGGGAGGCTGAGGCAGGAGGATCGTTGCAAGTTTGAGGCCAGCCTGGGCTACAAAGTGAGTTCAAGACCTGCATAGTGAGACCCTATCTCAAAAAGACAAATAAATACATAAATAAAATTGAAAAAATGGATAGGGCCAGGTACGTAAGTTGCCCAAGGTCACACAGGACGTAAGTGGGAGAGCTAAGTTTTAATGTCAACTGCTGGCTCCAAAGCTTGTCACCTGAACGATCATCCCATAGCGCAAGCACAGGATGATGAGAAGAGAGATCCAGCTCAGGTGGGACCTGGTCCCAGCATCCAGTACCCTCTGTTCAGAGTGTGCACAAGGCAGACATGTAGGCCGCAGTCTCCAATTCTCCCCCAGACTGCAGAGCGAGAACCCATAGCCCTTCACACAGAAACCTATTTTTAGCCCTTGTCATAATCCTTAACGTTAGTTAACTAACATGTCAGGCATGGTGCTAATCTACCATATACCTTCTCATCTGATCGTCTCATGACTTGAGTGTTACAATTCCCATTTTACAGATGAAAACGTAGAGATACTTGGTTACTTCTGGAATAGGAAGCAGCACAGACTGAATTTGAACCTAGTTGGGACTGTGGGGCCTAAACTCATGATTGCTACATTTTGTTACCAGGTGTTATTTTAAACAATTTCTTTCTCTTTCCCACTAGATTAGGTGACCTGTGAGAGTAGTGATCTTAGCTGTTTTATGTTTGCCTCCCCCGTGCCTAGCACAGTGCTAGGCATTCAGATATCCTCAACTCCCTCTTGTTAAATGAATGAATGGATGAGTAGAAGGATCAGTGCTGGAGGAAGGGAGAGAAGGAGGAAGGATGTGGCTGGGAGAATGGATTGATGGAAGGAGGGAAGAACACAATGAATAGATGGACAGACGGATGGAAGAACAGATGGATATGAAGAGGAGGAGTGGCTTGACATAGACAGAAGGATGGAAGGGGAGATGGGAGGAAGAGAGATGCATGCGCAGAAGGACAGATGGCTGGAAGCATGGGTGGATCACAGCAAGCACTTTCCTGGGAGCATCCTGCCCCTCTGCCAGGGGTGTGGCACTGATGTTCTAGTCTCTGCTGCCTGTAGGCTTACATCCTGAGGACAGCCTTCCCTTCTCAACCTTTGGCAGGCTCCGGGGTCTCCAGTGTTTGCGCCAAGCTTCGCTTCCTCCCTTCTCCTCTGCCTCAGATACACGATGCCCATGGAGAGCCCACGCTCACCATCGGAGTGGCCTCAGATCCAAGCTCTGGACCCATTACCCCCCTGCTCCATCTTCTGCCCTCTCTCTCAGGCTTGGCTCAGGTTACAGTAGCCTCCATGCTGTCCCTCAAACCCACCTAAGTTCTGAATTATTTGTTCTTGCTGCTCGGTCTCTGGAATGCTTTCCCCAGACACTGGCCTGACCTTTGTCTTCTCTTGCTAGAATACCCCTCGCAGTGAGCCAGTCCTCTCAGGCATAGCCTCTCCCTCCTACAGTGGGCAAGAATCACGGTTTCCTGACTATATGCTTTATGTGTTCCTTTGTCCTGCCTCACAGCAGGTAAGATCCACAAGGGGGGAGCTCGGCACATGCAGGCACACGAGACATACATTCGGAACACGCATGCCCCAAGTGTCTGGGAGAGTTGGTTACCACCTGATAAACGCAGCCTGGATCTCCACTTCCAGCCCTCAGAGGTTGGGAGCAGAGTATACAAAGGGCTCTGGCAGCGAAGCCACAGCCCATGAGCCTGGGAAACAGAGAGGAAGTGCCCCTTACCGCCTTGGTGCACTGGACATCCTTGCCCAGCAGCCAGTTGAGCTCCAGATTGCCCTCGCCTTGGTAGCAGGACTGCAGGCGCTCCTTGATCTGCAAGTTGATGGAGCGGATGGGGAAGGCACACAGGGCAGAGTCGTCGGGCGGGTGGTGGTACTGCTTCTGCCCTTTGGAGAAGATAGCAAAGAGCACATCATCTTGGCTGCTGACGTTGAAGGCCTGGGCCAGCGCCTCCCCGGGCTTGGCAAGGTAAGCGGCCTGCAGGAGACGATATTCCACGCCTGCCCGTGTGCAGCCAAAGGGCAGGGACACATAGGAGTGGAACTTGGGGTCATCCTTGCAGAGACGCACGATGCGAGAGGTGTAGAAGAGGTCTCCTGCAGAGTTGATGGACACACCCTCTGGGGTCTCCGGCTGCACGGTGAGGAAGTAGACGAAGCTGCCACTGGCGAAGCCATAGATGTAGAAGATGTCAAAGTGGGAGACCAGGGCCAGGGTGTCAGAGGGGATCTTGATGAGAGAGGAGACGAAATCGCTGTGGAGCTCGTAGTCCAGCATGGCTGAGGACTCCGGGTCTCGGGGCAGCTTGCGGCTGGACAGCGTCGGGAAGTAATCCTGCTTGCCGTCCACGGCTGTGCCGATGAACAGCTTGCCGTCTTCGCCCTCCGAGCGCACGATCACCCCATACATGGTGCCCGTCTTGTTGACACTGGACAGGTAGTGCTCCTTCTTGTGCGAGGGCTCCACCAGGATGAAGAGGTCATCCAACCGCAGCAGTTTGCAGACTCCTTGGTAGAGGCTGCCGCAGGCCAGCAGGCGGTTCTCAGAGTAGTCGATGAGCAGCAGCTTGTTGACGTTGTTGGTGAGGGTGAGCACCTCACTGCACGGCTGCACGATGAGAGGCGGGTAGCAGGACTTGTTGTCCTCCTCCGGCCCTGTCTTGTGGGCTACCTGGATCGTCAGGTTGCCCGTCAGCTTATAGACCCGGTTGATAGCCCCCACATACACAGCCCCTGTCCCTTGGTGGACAGTCAAGTGGTTGAAGGTCCAGTCTCGGTTCTCAGAGTGGAAGGTGCTAAACTGAGGCATGCCGGCTGCCCAGGGCACCAGCAGCACCCACAGTGCGGCCAGCAACACCAGAGTCCAGCTGTCAGCCTGCAGGGCCAGGGGCCGGCGCCTCCTCTGTGCCATCCTGAGGGGGGTGAGGACCAGGAGGCAGCTCCTCCGGGTTCTCATCTACACCACCTTCCCACGTCGACCTCACATGGTTCTAGAAAACACAAGGCAGGAGGGTCAGACTGGAAGTGAGGTCCAGGGGGAGCCGATAGGACTGCTGGGCCCAAGGTCCCTGTCTGGCTGGCTCTGTGAGCCTCTTCTGTATTTTGGGTTTTCTATTTTTACTGTACTCTCTCCCTCTTAGGACTGTTCAGGGAACCCTCTTATCTATTTTGGTCTCCAGCCTTTACACTATAAATTTTTTTTTTACTTTACAGAGCATCTCTATTTCTGTCTTCTTAAAACATCGTTTTTATCTCTTGGAAAGGTTACAAGACTGCTGGAGTTCACCAGCCAGTCAACACTGATGTCGTGGCTGGAGCCAATCCTCCCCGCCCAATCGTGGCTTCTTCCCCCAGGTGAGTGGAAATTGCCCCTGCCTCCTGGAAGCTTGCTAAGAAGGTCCTCTCCCAGAACCTCCCAAGAGTCTGAGAGTGCAAAGAAAACCCCTTGGTATTCTGGACTCCCATTGCCCACAGGGTTGTGTTTCCCACTTTTCCCTGCTCAGCCATCCGCTTTGAGGAAGAAGAGCCCCCCCAACCCCCGGTTCCGCTCCCTGCCCCTGGCCTCTTCTCCAGAAAGAGTCCCTGCACTTGTTAGAAAAGTATGCCATAGCCTCTAAGACTGGAACTCCCACACATGCCGCTCGGGTTCACGGAGCCCCTTGGATGGGGAGGAAGAGCCCCTGTGCTGTGGGACACTTTCTGCTTCTGCTTCTTGGCAGCTGCAACCATGGGCAGCCAGCTTCCTTGCTAAGGGGCCCAGCTGTCTGAGTCCAGCTTTGGTCCCCTGCAGCAGCAGTTCTGGGCTGGGGGCACATGGAGAGGGGTACAGGGAGGCGAGTTCCAGCCACTGCCATGCCTCCTGCCTGCAAGAGCATCCATGAGGTCAGCCAGGACTAAGTGGCCCAAGGCCATCACCAGCCCTGCACCCTTTCCTGCTGTCTGCACTCCAGGAAGCTGCAGGAGAGCAGGGTAGGGCTCTTGGGGGCAGACTGCAGAGACACCCAGCAAGGCATGGGGCTCAGAGAGCGCAGGCAGTGGGCACTGTCATCTTGCTGCTCCCTCTGGCTGCACCTGGCCTCTAGACAGGGACAATGGCAGCCTGGCAGTAGTACCAGGAGGAGGAGGCAGTGAGCGGTCTGCAGGGAGCTCTTTGCTCCAGCCGGACAATCACCTGGCACCCGTCTGGGACAAGTCCAGACAGACCTCGGCATCAGCGGAGGCAAGAATGGACACACTCAGGCAAGAGATGGAAAATTCACTCCAAGGCAGCTTAGGAGAGGTCCGTCTGTCCCTCCACTTCCCTAGCTGGCTGCACTGGGCTATAATTAGAACACTTGCTGGGCCTCCCCAGTATTTTATAAATTCTCCTTTCCTCTGCTCAACTCTGCATTCTAGGCTTGGCAGCCTTGAAGCTGCCAGGGTAGGACCCACCTCGCCCCATTCCTCTGAGCAGGCTCCACCGGGGTGTTCTGGGTGACTCATGAGGCCCCAGGCTTCCTTGGAAAGAGGAAGGCGGCAGCATGAGGCTGACCTCAGCCACTCAGCCACAGCCTTTCCGGCCCCACGCGCACACCGCCAAAGTCTCCCAACAGAGAGAGCTTTCGGTTTGGAAACCAGAGGTTATTTTCAGCTACGTCCTGAGACCGGTAGCAGGACGTGAATTCTTCAAGAGGAGCTGCAGAAAGGAAATAACAGAATCCTCAAGTTCTCCAGCTGGACAGGGAATTGCAAGGGGCTGTTCTTCGCCCGCCCTTCTCTCTGAGTTGCTAAACGCCTCTGGCCGCAGGTAGAGAGTTCTGTGTCCCACAGAGAGTCGAGGGGAGGAGGCGAATGGTCACTATTCTGTGATTTTTGAAAGTGCTCTCTGAAGCAAGGTTGCATGAAATTGAGAACAGCTTCTCCTATCCTCTCCACAGTGTATGTGCACATCTATGGTTAGCTTGTGGATGGAGCAGAAGTAAGACCAAAAGACGAGGTGTGATGCTTAAAACCATACCTCACTGCTCAGAGCCCTCCCAAGGTATAGTTTGTAAAAGCAAGTGGCTTTCGTTACAGGCAGAATTTAGGAACCAATTTGGGACTTTGTGCAAGTCAAGTCCTCGCCTTCATGTGGCAGGGTCTGGATAATCGCAGCACCTAGCTCTCCGGGTGTCAGGAGAGCAACTGCGATAGGGCAGGGGATTCCCTAGCACGGCCGCTAGCTCCCAGGGGTTGCTTCACTTGTGTTGGCTGTTAGGGTTGTCACTGAAGCCTCCCCAGAAGACAGCACTTCAGGCATCCTGGCAGAATCCCTGACGTTGCTCTTTTGCTTCCCATTGTCCTCTCTACAGGAGGGGCATTAAGAGTGGACCTTTGATCCCCAGCCTCCCTGACCCAGCAACAGAGCTCGGCGGTGCAGCAGGTGGTCGGGGAAAGGAATAGGTCCAAGGGGAGCCTCTCTGTCCTACTGCACTACAATCCCCCACCCAGCCTCTCCATGGCTATAGGGACCTTGTAGAGGTGGACTGAATGCAAGGGAAGTGGCCTCAGCTCTAAGAGGCAGGGAGGGAGACTCAGGAGCTCTGGTTCAATTTGTGCTTATATCACTTAGGAATTGTGCTGTGGCTTTAGGCTGGCCTAGCATCTCCCTGAGCCCGTTTTCTGAATGTAAAAGAAAAGACGTTGGACTGAGTCACTCTGTAAGATTTCTTCACTCAGATGAAACGATGCCTGGAGGCCTGGCTCCTTCACCCTCCCACAGCGCTGAGGTCCTCCTATCTACCTGCTGAGGATCATCAGGCCAGCAGTTCTCAAGAGAGTGTTACAGCTGGCCTGTTTCCCTCTCACTGCTCTGGCAGCACCTGTTCTGGGTCTGAGTGCTCTTGGTGTCCAGCTGGGGAGTTCATCCCACCAGGCACAAGGCCCTCCTACCTGGAGCAGCTGTCCCTGACTCTGGACTCTAGAGAAAGCACAGTCCCTTGCAGCAAGCACAGGAGAGAGGTTTGAGCCCCACCTTGGAAGTGTGTGTGGGAATATGGAGTCTGAGGGCTAGTCAACAGCTTCCTCCTTTCCATGCCGGTGTGGATAGTACCAAGAAGCTGCTCCAAAGCAGCACCCAGTGGGCTGGGCTCAGGCTTCACCTACCTCTGGGCCTCTTATAGCACAGGAAGCAGCATGGCATCATGGGTAAAGGCATGCACTCTAGGCTGGATGCTTGGATTCAAACAGAGCTGGAGCTTTACCTGTGGGTCACTTTACCTGGCCATTCTGTGATGCCATCTAACTGTATAAAATGGGGTTCATTCTATTGTCTACTTCACAGGATGAGGTAGATGTGGTGAAATCAGTTAGTACCTAAAAAGTGCTTAGGATAGCGCTCAGCCCATTTTAAGTGGTTGTAATGCATTGTCAGCCTTTGTTATTGGCAGTTTATCTGTTGATTTCACCAGCTCCTCACCCCCATCTATCCCACAATCTGTCTCAGAATGAATTTTTCTTCCTCAGTTTGGTAGAAGCTGGTAAGCAAATATGCCTGTGATATTGTGCACCTTGAATTTCCTCTTAACCCCAATTTTCTGCTAGTGTTAACCTTGGGAGTTTTCTTCTAATAACAATGCCCTCTTCTTGCTGTCTAGTCATTTTCTCTGTCGAGTTCATGAAGCCACTTGTCACATGCATTATCAAAAGCCTCAACTGGCCTGGCCTTTGTTCTCCTACCAATTTCTCCCTCCCCTACCCCATCCTCAAGCTGGGGCAGGCTACTGTGGGACTCATCTGCAAGGCCTTTTAGACACCTTCCTGCCACACTCCAGTGTCAAGGAGAAGCCATGCTTCCCTCTTTGGGAAGCAAGCGCCACTAAATATTTTATTTAGAGAGCCTGATGACACCATCTCTGAGATTAGGATCCAGGAGGCAGGTGTTGGTGACAGCCAGCGAAAGCATCTGATACCTTCCTGATCAGCTGCTGCAGGCGTCAGTGGAAAGCAGGGAGGAAATGACAATCAGGCATTTCCAGTTCAGTTCAAGGAGGACTCTCTCTTCCTGGCAGTGCTGTGTTGTGGCCCCTTTCAGGAGGACCGGGTGCACATGTCTCTCCTCTGTCATCTGGCCTCCCTTATCACAAAGGAGGTGTGTAGAGGAGTTAGAGCTGGATACCATTTTGCCAAACTGAGTCAAGTTCGCTTAAGTGGCTCTCACACAGTTGGACCACTTGCAGCTCCTCTCTGCCCACTACTACTGCCACGTTTTGGCACTGAGGGTTCTCACCGCCATAGCAGGAAGTGGTGCTATCACTACTCCTTTGAGGTGGGCCCCGAAAAGCCAGATGGTGATGGGGGGAGGGTAAGGGCGACAAGGTGGGCTGTGCCATCAGAGGAGGAGTTGGCAGCTACTCTTGGGACTCACCCAACCTCCTCCTCCCATGGCAGAGAGGAGCCCATCTTCTCCCCAGCTTTCCTTTCTGAATATTTAGGTTCTAAGAGTAGGGCTTTATTGTGCATCCTGAAGGAGCTGAGAAGGTCACTCCCACCCGCCACCATTTGTTCAGATGAAGAAGCTAAAGTCCCTAGAGAGGAAACAAGTTGTCCAAGGTGACTCGACCTGCTTCAGGGGCAGTTAGAGTCAGAACATGCAGCTGGAGGCAGGGAGTACGTTACACTCCATCTGAAAGTCGTCCTGCCTGGGACAAGAGGGTGTGTTTTTATGGCAGTGCTCTCTGCTGATGGGCAGAGTGAGTTAGCCAGAGCTGGAAGGTGGTGCTCAGGGCGAAAGGGAAGAAAGAGGCCATTAGGATGGCCTTTTGGGTTGGGGAGCACGACCTCCTTTGGCTAACCCTGACTCAGCCAAAAGTCACACTCAGGAATGTCACCTACATTGTATCCTTGGGGCTATGGCATCCTGTGCCACATCTTTCTAGGGTGTAGAAAACCCCATAGACAAGTCAGATTTAGTTTAAGCACAGATAGCTTCATCCAAAAGCGTCAGGACTGCAGCAGAGGGACCGCAGTTAGA